TTGGCTGTTTGTATTCACATGATGGTTATACTTTTGTACATTTGTTCGGTTTATATAAAACATCTCTATCATTTCGGAAAAAAAAAATAGTATACTTGGTAAAATTTTTCTTAATCAACAAAGGTCAACAAGAATTAATCGAGTACAAATCTATTATTTAATTAAGGCCAAATTTTGTAATTAGTCATTGAATCATATAAATCATTATAAAAATTAACCTTATCAATGTTATTAGTATCTATTACTATATAATACAGTTAAGAAAAAAAGGAAAAAATTCAAAAATTAATTGTCATTTTCCCGCTCAAATTTTCATTTTCCCCTCAAATTTTATTTGAAATATTTGGTTAATGTTTTCATTATTTTGGATGCGATTTGGTATATATCGGATAAAGTCAATGTTAACCAATAACCTTCAAAATTACACTTCTTTTTTTNTGCATACATTTGTATAACTTGATTTAACTCATTAACAAACTTTCCAATTTTTTTTTGAAAATTGGATGATTTTTATTTGTAAAATAATAAAAAATAGTTTTACTTTAAAGTCTGGATTCTTTCTATTATTTTTTGTACGTTAACAATCATATATTGGATAATTGATTTAAAAAAAAAAATCAAAACCGTAAGGTTCAATAATATTTCTTAAATAAAAATATTGTATAAAGAGAAGTGTTTAATAATATATATCTTTCATTGTTTGTATTTATTTTATTTCCATAATAGACGAGATGTGAAAAATATAAATAATTATATTTAAAATAAAATATAAAAAAAAATTTAAATATGAACTCTTCCGTGCATTACACGAGATATACACTAGTTACTAGTACATCAGTTAAAAATGTTTGGCTAATTAATCAAAGATTCAAAATTCAAATAAGCGAGGAGGAAATAAGGAATTAATATAATTTTAAGAGATAAAGGAGAAGAAATAAAAACTTACCTTAAGTGTTGAGGAAGAAATCGGTCAAGACCAGGCCCAAGAAATCCACCATGATTCACGTCTCTCACCCTTTCCATATAAATCTCCCAACCTCTCTCCCTATATTCGGTCCCCAAACTCTCGGCCATATTTTTCCACACTCATTCTCTTTAGAAACGCCAGTCGGCCTTATATTTTACCCCCACAATTCCACCTCCCAGAGTTCACAAATTTTACCTCAGCAAAGGCCCTAGATTCCCGACAAGTCACGACCGAGACGAGAGACCATACCCGAGAGCGCTTGGACCATTGGGAGTCCTAATCCTAGACTTCTTAGTTCCCTGTTTTCGCCTATATATGTATATGGGAAACTCAATTCCATAACTCAACCATATCTTAACAATCAAGAGAGAGAAAGAGAGAGAGAGAGAGAGATCCAAGCCACACGTCTTGGTAGATCGTCGCCCACAAGAGGACCAAACGAGGATAAGGATATAGAACATAAGATCGAAGGTGTTGGACAATCACTGACACCCGCGCACGACCACCCCCACGCGAGCACCGACGGTCGCCGCAACCAGCCGCGACGCAGCACCCAGTCCCAGCCGTGACGCACACGCCGCAGCTCATGTAAGCAGCCCCGCGCCGCATGCAGCTCCAGTGCTCCACAGTGGCTCATCCCAGCGCGCAGCAGACGATCACATGCATGTAGTCCAGACAACGCACGCAACACGCCCACAGTCCGCGGCTCCCATGGACGCGACACGCTGCAGCCCGCAGCTCCCGGCAACAAGCGTGACGCACGCGGATGACAGTGACGAAGGCAGTGACTCGGCGACCCAGACATGACACGCATGAGGCATATGAAAGTGGGTTAAAGAGCATCCCAGAGCCGTTCGTCCAGGCCTTTAGCATGTGTAAATGTGTACAAAGTCGGTTTGTATGAAACCGTAAGATCTTGATTCTAAATTTTAGTTTTTCGTTGCGCTTAGGATTATTTTCTTAGCGTATTTGACTATTGCAACAATATCCAACATTCTTTATTGAACTCAACAACATACCACCGCCTGACCCCGTTAGTGCATCCCTTCAACCCAATGCAAGAGAAGAAAGGGACAAAGGGGAAGAAGACTCCGACCTCGGCCCATACCATCCCAAAGGGGTAATCGGAGCCGCAACTCACACTCGCAAAGATGCCGGAAGACCGCCAACGCGAAGACGACGGTGGAGAAACGTTGGACCACCCCCGCCATGGTAACTTGTTTAAAGGCGAGACCCACTATGGGGAGGAGATCGCCACCCCCTCCTGAGAAATTGCAGCATCTAACAGGCGCCTCTCTGAAATCCGAGCTGCATTGTCCTGTGACGGTGCTGCAATGACGGCACAGAATACCTCGTTGGGGGAAGACGCAGAGATGAGGCCAAACGAGGTTTTTTCTTTGAGAAATGTTATAGATACATAATATTGTATACAGTGGTGTACATAACACTCGCATTGAGTGGGACCTATCAAAAATAAAAAATCAACACTCGCATTGAGTGGGACCTATCAAAAATAAAAAAAATCAAGTGGACGTCACTCCATGTGAGCGTTATGTACATCTCTATGTACATTTATTATGTACTTGTAGCATTTTCCAAGTAGAAATATTATTTTTTTTCTTAAAAAATAATAATGCACTTTATGACAAGTAGAATCATAAGTTTGAAAGCTTTGAAATTTAATTTGAAATTTATTTGATGTTTAGATGAAAAACAATATACACAAAAACATAGATGAAAGTGTTGAAGGTGAGAACGATTACAAATGAGGTAGAGTAAATTGGTCCAAATAATTAATATTCCTCCTTTGTGATTTTTGTATCGAATATGCTGAAAAGAGTAAGGGGAAGAGTGGGGCTGTTGTCGGTCAGAGATTAGTTTAGACAAAAAGTAGAATCTGAGTTTCAAAAAAGAACTAGATTGCCATGAGATAAAAATAAACTAAAAAACAAAATGGATTGGATGAGAAGTAGGTGGAGCCTTTGGAAACAAATGAAGGAACAAGAGACTAAATTAGGGTGAGACCATAAAAAAGGAACTGTTGGTGCTACTGATGAATGGTGGGCTTCGAAAATTAAGGTTAGTATATATATTTTTTTTTCAAACGATAGATTACTAAAACACATACTTACAACCGGCTCACTAGTCGAAAAAGGAGAGGCCTACCAACATCCAAAGGTAGCCTAAATACCACGGCACAACACAACAAACGCACAAAAACTCCACAAAACGAGAGAATACAAGCTCTCCAACGGAAGAATCAGCATTCTCCAACGGGAGAATCAACACTCCTAAAAACTAAAATCGGGGAAAAAACACAAATGCATTCTTACAACACAACATGAACACAAACACAAAACATGATAAATAAACTATAGCCCTTCCCACAACAGCTAAACCAAACAGAACACCAATGACGCCGACACCTAAGGTGGTCACCTATACGGAGAGAGACCTGATCTAAGTCTCAGTTCTAATTGTTAAAAAAATGTGAATCTTAGTTATATGTTAACTCAGTTCTAATTGTTGGAAAAATGTGAGTCTTAGTTATATATTTACTTTTGTGTTTGTAGGAAAATCGCAAGTTTGAAATATTTCGGGAAGAAGTGATTGAATCGGGACTTGAATGTAGAATGGACTGTTTGTAGTTTTTTTCAGACGAGTACAAAACGATCGACCTTGGGTTGTCTTCTCGGAGGAAGGTTGTTCGAAGCTTCGTTTACTATCTAGTCGTCAAATCAAAAAACCGAAAATAAGAACTTAAACATGCTACTCGCTTGATTGGGGGATTTTAAATTAATTGCAAATAATGAAGAAAGATGCAAATTTTGAAAGAAAGATTTGAACTTTGGTTATCAGGAGTTCCCATTACTTGATGAAAATGAAAATAAACGAAGAGAAACATGGTAGTAATAAGATCCTAGGTAGACAAACTGAGCCTTTTTAACTAAATCAATGGTCCGGG